ATACTTAAGAGATAGGTCCTATGTTATATAGCCCTGTAATAATGCACCCCTACTTGTACATAGGAGAAAAAAATGATTTCTCCTAAGTAGTTGCACAAGGGCTCCCTTGCAACTATTTTGAACATGCTCCATCCATCTGTCCACAGCATGTTCAAAGATATGTTAAAATACCTTTCTGGATGTACAGAAATCATGATTTAAACTTACGAGTAAAGTCGAAACAGTAGTACCTCACCTTACGGTGTCAAAAAGAACAAAAAATGTCTCATATCTTGGCTATTGTGAATAATGCTTTTTTTTTTTGTTTTAGAAGTGAGATCGTTGACAAACTTAATGCCTTATGATCGATGTAATTTACATGGTCTCTGTTGGGGTCTAGAGTTTAAGTCCTCCCTAGGTCATTCTAATCAGTACCAAGGTTGAGAACCACTGTGTTAAACCAGTGATGTTTCCTGGAGGGCTGCTTGACTGGCTTCATTTCTCTCCCAGGTGAGAAAGCAGAAAGCAGTGATTCTCTTAAACATAGAGAAGTGTAGGAAATCTCCACCTTCGAATCACCTGGGGAGCTTTACAGATACCACTGCCTGGGCCACTGGGTAGAGAACCACAAGCATACAAAATATAAGAATGAAAGAATAATATTAGTATAGATTTAATCCTTAATCACCCTAATTTATATATTGAAAGTAAATCATCTTAAAACTAGTATTAGATTGAATCATATGAAAATGTTTATGAACATACATAAAAATGGTCAGACATCAATCTAATACCATTAAAAAATAAATTACTCATGCTGCATGTTCTAAATGATTGGAATTTATTGGTACCAATGCTAAGAAAAGCTGCTCTAAAACTTAATTTATTCATTTGTAAAATGAGAGACTGTCCTGGGTGAGGAGGAGGATGATGCCTGTGCTCCGCAACGGGAGAGGCCACAAAGGGGAGAGGCCTGCGTACCGCAAAAGAAAAAAAACAATAGCGTAAGTCAGTCAGATATCACTATTATTATTGGAATCACCAGGAATTCTCCGGGTTTCTTCCTCCTGTTTAGGGGGTGCCAGTGTACCTGACATTGGATTAGACATTGGTGTATGGTTAGGCTATTCAAGATGGATGTTTTCTTGCTCTCTAAATCCCCTGCTCGACCAGTTGCTGCTTCAGTCACATGGCTATCCAATCCGCTTAATTATAGGGCTTAATTAGCCCCTGGTAACTGATGAGCACACCTGACGTCAATTCCTTCCTATAAATGGTAGCGTCCTCCCCTGAGTAGGAAAGATGGCCGCCATGTCTTGCCTGCTGTCCTGTTGCTCCAGGGTCCGTTGTGTAAGGTCACTCCATCCAATAAACCATGGGTGTCTTTGCCGCTGTCTCCAAGCTCTTTCTTCAGTCTGGAAGCTGGACAACTTGCAAGCCTGCGGGGTGCAGCCCAACAAATGGTAATTCAAGATTAATTAAGCACAGTTCTTGTCCTCACGGAGTCTCAGTCAAGTAGGAAAGTCAAAAGGTAATAGGACTAGGCTGCCCCCGCTGCCTCAGGCGCTCGTAGGCCTGCCCTGGGGGCCTTCCACGTCTTACAAGCCCCCAGCCCGAAGTGCGAGCTGCCAGAATGCTGCGTTCATCCTTGTTGAGCCACCACGCTTTTCCTCATTATCTGCCTTGGTACCAAGGAGCTGCTCCTGCTTTTCTGCCCGGGCTGGGACCTCCAGTACCGTCATCACGTAAAGTGGTGAGAGCTGCCGTCCTTGTCTCTTTTCAGATTTCAAAGGAGACTTTTTCAACTTTTAACCACTGTGCCGTCTCAAGACGCCACTTGTCTGTAGGAGGGGAACTTGGAGGAGGAAGGGATGGCTCCAGGGCTGCTGAAAACCTGGTCAAAGGACTCGGTGACCTTCGGGGACGTGGCTGTGGACTTCTCCATGAGGAGGGGGCATTGCTGAACCCTGCTCAGAAAATCCCGTACAGACATGTTGCTGGATAACTTTCGGGACCTGGTCTCAGTGGGGTATCTCCATAAACTCAAACTGCTCACCCAGGCAGAGCAGGAAGAGCTGAGGACAGAGGGGAGAAGAATTCTCCAAGACACCTGTGCAGGCCAGAAGTCTCAATTTCAAACCAAAGAGACCACTGTAAAGCAGATTAAATTTGGGGCAAACCATCTACTAGCAGGAAAAGGTGCAGACCTTCTATGGGGAAGAATCCCTGTCTTGCAAAGAAAGCAAGAAAACCTTTAGTTACCACTGATAATATCCTTAATCAACAGGCATCAACTCAACCTGGAGAGAAACCCCATGAATATAATCAATGTGGAAAAGCCACTGGAAGGAATTCTAACCATTTTATGCCCAAGAGAAATCACACAGGAGAGAAATGCAATGAATGTAAAGAATATGGGAAAGTGTTTGGTTATCCTTCATCCCTTAGGATCCATGTGTGATGGCTCTCAGCTGGTGAGAAGCCCTATTTAATTAATTAGTTAATTTATTTTGTGTGTATGGATGGGGCAGAGCTCGGTTGGGGCAGGGGAGGGGGCTAGCAGACCCTGACCACAAAACTGAAATGCTGGAAGGACACCTGCTTGGTGGCTGTGAGGGGCTGCATGTCCCAGGGTGGGCTCAGCATGGGGACCTCCCCTGTGAACTCTTCCCAGCCATGCTTTGTGAAGCGTGGGCATGAAGGGCAGAGGCAGGTCATAGGGCATCCCAGGACAGTGTCCTGACGAAAGGATGTTTTTTTTTTTTTTTTTTTTTTCACATCATCTGCATTCCTCTTGCTGGACCCTAAGCTGGCGGGTTACCTCCTCGTATCTGAGTTTGGAAAGATCACATTGTAGAAGATGAACTAGTTTTCTTTGCCTAACATTATGGTGCATTAAAAATAGATGTCATTATCATTATTATCATTTTCAAATGTTAGAACTAGGAAGGCCTTGGAGATGTGGTCTAACACTACCTAAAGTCATAGAGTTTTATGTTATATTTAAAAGAACCTAGGTTGGGGAAAAAGAGGTAAAATTCGATATCAGTTTCCTGAATAGTTGGTGTAAGGAAATACAATGATATTGCTTGAAGCAAAACTGTGTTGCATCATATTGTACTTAAATTCAGAATGTTTTTTAAGAGGTAATGAAAGCTTGAGATGTCTCAGGTGTTAAGTCATAAGAGGATTTTCCAGTTTTCAGGGAGATTTTAAGCAACTCAGGCATAAATCAAGATCCAAAATATGTTGATTACCTAGTTGTTTGGAAAATAGATTTTGCATAAAAATTGTTTAACTTCACAGACAAATCCATAGGCGTTTAATTCATAATATAGCTGAAGGTAGCACTCTTTTGGATGTCATTCATACTAGTATAGGTAAAAATGTGTGATCATTGCAGGGGGCTTGTGGATTTAATGGTTCACCAGCCCCGCCAGGGCCGAGACCATTATCTGTCTTGATCACTATTGCATCGCCAGTGCCTGGCAAAGCGCTTGACATATAGTAGGTGCTTACTGAATATTTATTGAATGAATGAAATAAACCAACCACAGGAATGTCAGTGTTTGACCTGGACCATGGATGGCAGCCAATGATTTGAATGCCTTCAGGATTCTCTTTCTTAGCATTTCCATAATCTGCCTCTTTGTGTGTTGGCTTTATTCTTTCAGACCAGGTCATCCTTGTGGATGGAAACTTGGTCATGTGGAACATTTATGTCCACATCTTGTAGGTTTTGCATTAAACAAAAACTGTCTCTACTTTTAGAATTCAAACTCTAAGGGGATGTGTTCTGATTGGCCCAGGTGGAATTCAGCACTTACTATTAGAACAATCAGCCAGGGCAGGTAGAATCATGTAAGAATGTGAAAACCTCAGGAACTGCATGGTTGGAATGAGGAAAGAGGCTTTTGCCAGTTTCCTCTCTGCAAACTTTATTATCTTTTAAGAGAAGAGGCTTATCCAAACTAATGGGTTATAAAGAGAAAAAGGAGTTGGATTCCTTCCTTCTAAAGTGTATGTTCTTTATCATGATTCATGATGACACGATCTGAAGGACAAGAGCCTTCAGGTGTGCAGAACACTAAAATGAAAACAAGTTACTATGGTGAAAACACACAAAGAAGAGTCTAGGAGAACAACTGAGAAGTAATGAGAAAAAGCTTCCCGACATATGTCTAGAGAAGAGAAATGTTATTTCATTCAGCCAGACGTTTCTACAATTGTTGAGCAGCTACTGTGTGCCAGGTTTTGCAAATGGACTGTATTTAGGTCAGTAAGATCTGAGGGGCAGAGTTTTTGCCCCAGACAAGCTGGAATCCACCTGTGTGAAACTTACTCTCTGAAACATCCATATGAAACCAACAGTGGGAAACCACAAAATCTACTTAAAGAATTATGTAGAGCTCCTGCACACAATGTTTCTTCAAGTCAAAGCAATAAGGTTGGCATTAGGAATTCCTCTCTTCATTTTCACCAACAGCTCTTTTCCCTCATCTGATCTATGATGTAGCCATATATCCTTACATGTATGTTGGATATACACTGGTTAATAACAAAGTCTCCAATCTTCTTTTTTGTCTTGTTTAGAAAATTTTCTTACTCCTATGCTTCTGAGGACTATTTCTTTCCCTCTCTCTCTCATACACATACCCTTCTGAGGTGTTTTTGATAAACCCACTTAGGGAGGAGGCTACATGGTCTCTAAGAACCTATTATTCCCTATATTTTCTACATCTTACTTTTGAGTCGCCTGCATAAAGAGCTCCCTGGGTTTTAAAGCTGTATTGTTGCAACTTAAGAAAAAGCCAGAATGAGAGGTAAATTTTAACCCAGTTCCACAATTATCCAGCAGAGCTTCAGTAAGAAATTGTGCTTCTATTAAATCCTGTTTGAACAATTTTCTAAATACTGTATAAGTATGTGAAGTTCTGTTGCATGTACATCAAGTGAACTAATGCCAAAGAGTAAGTTTTGTTTTCCCTCATGTGTGTGTCTTCTATTTTTGAACACCTTAGGTTGGGAAGCTCTTCAGACTTGCCTTCTGCAAATCACTGGGTATGGAAACCTTACTGCAGATGTGGAAAAACTGCACAGAAAATCCTGTGGTTCTGATAGTGCCCAACGTGAAGAAATGCTTTTGAAGGTTAGTCCTTGAACACATTTTAACCCTTCACCTAGGTCAGCTAATGTTTTCCAAGTACCTGCTGTGTGCTAGGTACTGCTCCGGACATTAATGGTACAAAGGTGAATAAGACATGGGTGCTGTAACTGGTTGGTAAAGCCTCATTTTCTTGCTGGTTCAGATGTTGGAGGTAAATTTCCATTAGAAAATTCATGTGAGAAGTTTAAGGTAAAGCCAGTTTTTGAGGTGTGATTGACATGAAACGTTATATTATTTTCAGGTATGCAATGTAATGATTCGATATTTGTGTATGCTGCAAAAGGATCACCACAATACGTCTAGTTAACACCCAGTCTTCTTAATGATTAAGCCAGCAGGCAATAAAGCCAGTTCCATTGCACAGGTTTCCCCAGTTTGTCCTCTGTTGGTGAAACAGAAGTCACCTGAGTAGGTCTTCCCTCCATGAAGGGTGAAGTGGTGGTGCAGGGGAGGCCTGCCTTGCTTCAGGTCTCACACTTGCTGTTGGTTTAGCATTGGGCTTCACAAACTTCAGGTGCCAGCTGTGTAATTGGATATCAACTAGACTAAGCAGGATAAAAGAAAGGGGGCAGGGATCTCTCTTTTCCTTTGAGGTTCAGGCACAAACACTGGGCTAAACCACCCTTTAGAACCCTTAGATCTGATGGAAGTTCTCACCTTCCTTAACCCTGGGCATCATTGTCTGCTGAGAATGAGAATCTTCAGAGGAACCACTATCTCTTTATGGTAGAATTGTTGTTGATGTTAGGCCTTACCAATAGGCACCTAACTGGGAATCATTAGAGCTCCAGAAATCTGCTTTTTTCCTGTATGTCTTCAGGCCCATCTCAAGACCCTGCCTGTGAAGTAAAGTAGCTCTCTAGTTACAACATTTTCAGGGACTCGTTTTCCTGAGCTTGACCTGAGCTTCAGAACTGTAGCAGGATGGGATGGGTTGCCTGGAAGGAGGTTAATATGGTGCCCTCTTGGAGTGGTTTGGGTACGTGACAGGAGAAATTTCTGTATGGAGTGAGTGGCTAGCTTAGAGGATCATCAAAGTTCACTCTGATTTCTAGGTCAGCAATTCTACTGCAGTTATTATTCAGGTGGTAAAAGCAGATAATGTCCATCCCTTGAAGGCTTTTATTTTAACCAGGCTTGTATCTGTCTAGTATTTTTATAACTGGTCTATAAGAGGTTTATCAATGGAATGGGGAATTTGAGGAGAGGACCATTATAACATTTGAAAAGTATTTTTCTTGTATCCCCCCCACTGCAACAATGATCTCAATCACTTATTATTTTATATCTTCTAGACTGTTGCTTGCCTAAATGTTATTTACATGTAGCCGGTTAGAATTGCAGACTTTGTTTCAACAAAGAAAAAATAGAGGTTTTGGAAATAGTTTCCTGTTTCTATTACAAATATAAACTGTTAAATATTTTAAGCTGCTAAGCAGTACTGAATTTTGCTGTTTTGCTGAAAATGTGATCAAACAGGGGAAAGATGCCTTATTCGTCACCTTTCTTATGTTCTCTCGGGGTTGCCAGCATAGCAGATTATCAGAATCTTGATTATGTTTTGAACTACGTACAAACAAATCTTGTTTCCTCAGGTGATTTTAGAAGGCAAATAACTATGAGTTGCTAACCAAAATCAAAAGGGTAAATAATTGAAAATTAACCAGAAAAGGGGCAGAGTTGCTGTTTCATCTAGCCGTCTTAGGAGACCTACTTAACCAAAGCACTTATATAACATATTTGAATGATACTAAGTATTATATAATTAAAATGTCCAGGAACTGCTCAATTTGATTAAGAACTATGAATTCATATGCAGAGCATTTATCAAACTGTTACAGTAACTGAGGTCTAGAGAGGTAATTAGCCTAAATTTTCATAGCTGGAGCCAGGAGCTAACCCCAGGTCTGCCTTCACTACGAAATGCATGCTTTTTTCAGGGCATCAAAACACCCTGTCTTTGGGTCGGCATGATTCCCTTCACATAGATGCATGCCATTATTTTTTAAGACTGTTACAGGCTTCCTGAGAAGTCTCTTGAGAGTATGACTGTTTGGGGTGGGGAAATGATGGGAAAGAGAGAGAGAAGAGTGCTAGCAAGAAGGTTGGTTCTATTCGATTGGGGGTGTATGTGGGACAGTATAATACTTGTAGCTTTTTTCCCTGACTCTTAAAACCACCACAGACTTTTTAAGACAGAACAAATGAAAGTAACCAAAACAAAATTAAGTATAATTGTTCATTTTGTGGTGTTAAAATCCTATTCAAACATTTTATGATGTTTTGTTCATTCTGCTAAGTGAGTTTCTTTCCAGTCTGTTTCTTAGCTGTCTTGTGAGTAACAGAATTTGGTATTTCATTTCCCAAGTTGTATACTTTACCCAGTGGTAGTGATGGTGAGCTGTGTGTGTGTGTGTGTGTGTGTATGTGTGTGTGTGTGTGTGTTGGGTCATGGTTAAGGTTACAACATTTCTCCTGAAACCTAAAGGCTTGGGACCACATATAGGTAGAGTTTATGACTACCTGTATAATGTGAGAGGTATTGAAAAGAAATTATGGAAAAGAATATTTTCCTTTTAAATCTAGACTAGACAACAGTACTTAATGAAGATTTGTTGTCAATATTTCTCCTATAACAAGAGTTGTGGGTGGCTGTGGTCCAAAAATATCAATACAGTGGTATACACCAAATTGAATATTGGTGATTCAAAAGCCAAGAAAGGCATGGAAAGAGACTGCATACCCTGGAGCAGAACTAATCTTGGGGTTGGTTCCAAGTTCCTGATAAAGCCAAAACCCAGGGGATCTTGACCCTTGACCAACCATGAATTTGATTTCTACCTCATAAAGACCTTACTGTGAGACTCATAAGGACAAGAGTACAGTGAAGACAGCAAAAAAGAGTTCATAGCACCCACGTCTAAGATAAACCTTTAATACTTAACCAGTTTTTGACTGAGCTCAGCTGCCTTGATGCACCGCTGGCCTAGTGGGAGCCTATCCTAAGTGAGCCTGGCCTGGAGACTTATTAGTGCTAAACTTCATGCTAATTGAGTAGGAACAGGAAAGAAGATTTTTCTTATCAGGGTCATTTCTGGAACCTATGGACCTGATACAGTGTTTCAGAATGTTTTCAGAAGAATACCCTTTGAAAGTGCAAATATGGTTCTTAGACTGGCTTTTCAGAGAAGGGTTCTCAACATTTTTATCAGAAAGGTTTTCCTTTTCTCAAATCTTTTGTCCCCTGAGAGTAGGGGAGGCAGATGCAGAAGATGAAGATAGGATTGTTACCTGGGAGTTAGGTTACCTGGCAGAGGCGTCCCATGGTTTGTTCCCCCTCCTTGCTTTCGAGCATTTGAGATGGATTTGAAGGAGAGAAAGCATGATATTGGAAACTGGTTAGGAAAATGAAAATGAACAGGTAGGGCTTTGAGGTCTACAGTCAGGTTCTAACCAATGGGTCAGACACTGTTAAATTAAACCATTGATATGAATTGGTGAATCCCTGAGTCACCATTTAATGCATAAGACATGAATGTAGGATGCAGGCTAGAAGTCAGTCTTTGCTGGACACTAAACCAGGATCATGATCTTGAGCACTTGTCTCAGAACACTTGATTCATTTCTAAAGGTCAGATTTGGAAAATAAAGCTTGATTTTTGAGTTCTGGTAACTAGCCTCAACTTCGGTGCAAATTTGAAATGATTTTACTTTGCTGTAATCATTGCCCTCAATTCTGTTGATTTTAATTTTCTTGCTGAGTAGCCTCTTAAATGACATATTGGACAGCATCTGACATCTCCCAGTCACTTCTAGCTTAAAAAAGTCCCTCCAGAACACTCCCAAACTCATTCTACAAGATCACCATCACCCTGATACCAAAACCAGACAAAGATGTCCCAAAGAAAGAAAACTAGAGGCCAATATCACTGAACATAGATGCAGAAATCCTCAACAAAATACTAGCAAACAGAATCCAGCAGCACATTAAAAGGATCATACACCATGATCAGCTCAATATCATGCAGCTCAATATCAAAAAAACAGCCAAATCCAAAAATGGGCAGAAGACCTAAATAGACATTTCTCAAAGGAGACATGCAGACTGCCAACAAACACATGAAGGGATGCTCAACATTACTGATCATTAGAGAAATGCAAATCAAAACTACAATGAGGTATCACCTTACACCAGTCAGAATGGCCATCATCAAAATATCTACACACAATAAATGCTGGAGAGGGTGTGGAGAAAAGGGAAGCTTCTTGCACTGTTGGTGAGAATGTAAATTGGTACAGCCACTGTGGGGAACAGTATGGAGGTTCCTTAAAAAACTAAAAATAGAACTACCATATGACCCAGCAATCCCACTACTGGGCATATACCCTGAGAAAACGATAATTCAGATTGCAGCTCTATTTACAATAGCCAGGACATGGAAGCTACCTAAGTATCCATCAACTGATGAATGGATAAAGAAGATGTGGCACATATATACAATGGAATATTACTCAGCTATAAAAAGAAACGAAATTGAGTTATCTGTAGTGAGGTGGATGGACCTAGAGACCATCATACTGAGTGAAGTAAGTCAGAAAGAGAAAAATAATATATACTAACAAATATATATGGAATCTAAAAAAAATAAATAATGTTCTGAAGAACCTAGGGGCAGGACAGGAATAAAGACGCAGACGTAGAGAATGGACTTGAGGACACGGGGAGGGGGAAGGGTATGCTGGGATCAAGTGAGAGTGGCATGGACATATATACACTACCAAATATAAAATCGATAGCTAGTAGGAAGCAGCTGCGTAGCACAGGGAGATCAGCTTGGTGCTTTGTGTCCAGCTAGAGGGGTGGCATAAAGAGGGTGGGAGGGAGACGCAAGATGGAGGAGATATGGGGATATATGTACATGTATAGCTGGTTCACTTTGTTACACAGCAGAAACTAACACCATTGTAAAGCAATTATACTC